TGAGCCTTGGCCACTCTTGTAAGTTTAGGTCGCAGATTATATGTCTGAGTCTTTATTCTTCATATGTAATTTAAAAGTAAGCTTTTCTTTATAAAAACTTTAATTGAATTTCAATAAAGTTAAAGGCATAGCCTTACTGTTAATATTTTTTAAAAAAAAAACATTAATTATATTAATAAAATTCAATAAATATTTTAAAAAATCTATATATAATTATTACAGTAATTATATATTAGAATTGATGATTAAATCTTAATTAAATATTAAATATAACTTAAGAGTGATCTATATATGTTTCTTAATTCACTAATAAATATTCATAATAATTAATTTTATTAGTTGATATAATTAATATTCTTAAGTATGATTTTTCATCAGCATATTACACTATATAAACTATACAATATACAGCTCTTATTTATTTAGAGAAAGGCCTAATCAGCTTTAGTGCTTACTTCCTTTATATTTAATAAGAGACCTGCATATATTTATATGCAAAGATAATTTAATATAAAAAAGAAATGATTATTTATTGTTATGGTTAAAGCTGAAATAGCTAATGCTGGAAATTAGAAGTCTCAATTTAAAACTATAAACTTTGCTAAAATCCAACTATACTCTTTTGTTATAAACCCTAATCCAAAATTCTAATTCAACTATAAAAAAAATCATAAAAAATGCATTTCAAAATTTTTTGTAAATTTTATATTAAAGTATTTAAAATTTCTAGTATTAGTCATTTTTAGCTTTAGCAGTAACACTTATTAAATGAAATTAAGCTAATTTTATATTTAGAAAGTTATAGAGATATTTTATATAAAGTATAATAATTTATTTATTTAGAACTTAATAGATAACTCTATTTGTAACTAGTCTTTTTAAAAACATATATTTATACAATTTTGTTTGTGAAAGGCTTAAATGACCATAGTAATTTGCTGGTCATGCATAAGTTCTGTTCTTAATACATAGTATATTGGCAAAATAACAATTCAATGCATGATTACTAATATATATAACAAAAATCATTCTGTAAAATAATAAAATATAACTTAAGTTACACTTTTTTTTCTAAATAGTTTTTAGTATAAATATTTATGATTAAAGAACAGTAATAAAATTAAAATTTTCTATTCACTATTGTTAGCTTGTGATATTATACTAATTATTATGAATAAAAAAAGATACTTTAAACAATAAGCATTGGCAGAGTAAATAGCTAGTATATTATTATAATTATTTAAGTCCTGCTTGCATATAAATATATATTATTGTTATAAGTATATATTAAATAAAGAATAAGAATTACATATTTATTACATCATAGAAATTGCAGAGTTTAAAATTAATCACAATGCATAATTAAAAAATGCAATAATGATAAATAAAATTTTTTACTTTTTTTAAAATGGCTTCATTTAATGAATATGCCTTTTTAGCATTTCAAACATTTAATAAGATTATAAATGAATATTTGCAATCCTTAGGCAAGAAAAAAAGATCATAAACATTAATTACAGAATATATGTCTAATGAATATTTGCAGATTTTAAATAATTTTAAAAATACTTATATTGCAAACTCTAATATATGCTACTAAGTTAAAAGTAATTATTTATCTCAAAGAATCAGTAGAATTGTGACATTAATATATAAAGAAAAATCATCAAATAATTGGAAACTTGTAGCTTTAAAAGAGAGGTTATACTATATTAGCACAGAAGAACATTTGGCTATTAGGCACAAAGGTGCTAGAGCTATTTATGCAGAAGTATCAAATAAATACCATGGTGTAAAAAGATGTTTGGTTGATAAATTTGTTGAAAAGTGTAAAACATATAAAATATGAAGATTATCTATCAAACCTTTAGCTATAAAACCTATTATTAGTAAATTTTTTATACAATAACTTCAGATATAAAAATACATATAAATTTTTTTAATAAAAAAAACAAGATTAAATTTTATAAATAACAAGCAAGTTTTTTTTTTTAGATTGATTTTATTGATATGCAAATAAGAAAAGATGGTAATATAAATGGATTGTGCATACTAGAGATCACTATACTCATTTTTTATAGGCCTATGTTTTTACAGAAAAATGTATAGCAAAAGTGGCTATATTTTTGTTTGACATCTTTACTGTATTTGGTTTACTGATCTTTCTACAAAGTGATAATGAGTGTGAATTCATGGTAGACTTCATTAATAATTTCTCAAAGCTTTGGCCAAATCTTAAAACTATTCATAAAAAGTTACAGAAATTACAAACTCAAAGTTCTATAGAAAGAGCAAATTATATATTAAAAGATAAACTTGGGAAGTAACTTGAAAACATCAAAATAAAAATAAGAATTTATACTAGACAGTTGGTTTGGCAACTATAGTTTATTCGATGAATTTATCTGTATATCATGCTATTAATAAAAGGCCATTTGAGTTGGTTTTTAGTCATGAACTTCATGGTCATTGTGTTCTTATTAATTAACTTTGGTCTTAAGGAATTCAGTATAAAGAAAATATTTCTGATAATGTTCAAATTGATAATGATATTCAGTTTGATGTTAATAAAGATAGCATTCAAACTGAATATTATGATAATGAATTTAATGAAAATTTGATTTATAATCTGTCACAAAGTGAAAATAATGATAGAAATAACATGTCTTTTATAATGGTAAGTATTTATTTATTTATAAAAAAGAAAATTAATTCTCAAATTTATCTTTTAATTTAGAATTTCCTACAATTTAATAGTATACTGCAATATATGGTAAGCATTAAGCATCAAAAAAATGAAAGCATTTAAATTTTAAAATGGTTTTAAAATATGAAATTATTCAAATTTTTAGGATTCATTGTCACCATTACCTAACATAATGGCTAGTATTAGAATTAAAAATATATATAGTTGTAATTAATTAATATGAAATTGATTCTTCTTCAAAAAAAAATTCAGGGTTTTTTGTCACTGCTGCTGCTACCTAACATGATAGTAAGTATCAGAATTAAAGTGTATTAATTGTAGTTAAGTATAATAATATAAAATTATTTTTTAACAAAAAAAAAATTTAGAGTTTGTTGCTGCTGCCCCATAGTATGATAGTAAGTATTAGAATTAAACTGTAATTAAGTATTAAATTTATTCTTAGTTCAATAAAGTAATAACAATAATAATGATTTAGGATTTATTGTTGCCACTGCTGTCTAGTATAATGTTAAATATTAAAATTAAACTGTAATTAAGTATTAAATTCAGTCTTAGTTCCACAAAGTAATAACAATAATAATAATTCAGAATTTATTATCACTGCTGCTACCTAGTATAATGTAAGTATTAGAATTAAACTGTAATTAAGTATTAAATTTATTTATAGTTCAACAAAGTAATAATAATGATTCAGAATTTGTTGTCACCACTGCTGCCTAGTATGATGGTAAGTATTAGAATTAAATGTAATTAAGTATTAAATTTATTCTTAGTTCAAAAAGTAATAATAATAATAATAATTCAGAATTCATTATTGTTGTCACTTTCTAATAATATGATAGTAAGTATTAAAATTAAAGTGTATATAACTGTAATTAAAATGTGCAATTGTTCTTACTCTAACAACAACAAAAAAACCAGAATTCATTATTGTCATCACTGCCACTGCCTAATAATATGATAGTAGGTATTAAAATTAAAGTTTATATAACTGTAATTAAAATATGAAATCATTCTTATTTTAACAACAACAAAAAAAAACCAGAATTTGTCATTGTTATTACAGCTGTTACCTAATATAATAGTAAGTATTAAAATTAAATTGTATATAACTGTAATTAAAATATAAAATTATTCTTACTCTAACAACAACAAAAAAAACCAAAATTCATTATTGTCATTACTGCCATTGCCTAATATAATGGGAAATATTAAAATTAAAATATATATAACTGTAATTAAAATGTAAATCATTCTTATTCTAACAATAACAAAAAAAAACAGAATCCTTTGTCATTATCACCATTACCTAATCTAATAGTAAAGTGTATATATAAATATAATTAAATATTAAAGTATGAAATTGTTCTTACTTCAAAAAAAAAACTGAATTTGTTACTGCTGCCTAATATGATAGTAAGTATTGGAATTAAAGTGTAATTTAATTAAGTATCAAAATGTAAAATTGCTTTTAAAATGCTGATAAGGATTGAATATAGAATATTACCTTAATTACAAATAAATTTCAACACTTATCTAAAAATTATAAATTTTGCCATAGTTGCATCTAACATGAAGAATATGATAAGTATTTAATAAGAAATAATAATTGAAATTAAGCATTAAATATGAAATTATTCATACTTATTTCAAAAATTTATAAAATTCATTGCTAAAAAAAAATATGATAAGTATTGAATTAGGAAATGATGTCTATAAGTAAAATTATAATTATATTTTTTTTAGGTTCTATTATTGCCTTTGCTATATGATATTGTAGAAAATATAGTAGATATTAAGTAAGAACTGGTATTTGTTAAAATGACAGCTTATATATGTTTTTGAAATTTTAGATTTTGCTATCACCATTATCTAACAAAAATGTAATAAATACTAAACTATAATAATTATTTTAATTTAAAAATAATTAATCATACTCTTTATATTTCAGGTTTTGCCACCATTGCTGCATAATAAAGATATAGTAAATATTATTAAGCAATAATATTTTAAATAAAAAATGGCCATTCATACTTATTATTTATAATTTTTATTTTATTTTATTTTTTTTGAAAATTTAGGTTACATTGCTGCTATCATCTAATAAGAGTGTAGTAATTATTAATTAAATTATCAATACTTAATTTGATATGTTAATTATACTTATTTTTAAAATTCTAGATTCTACTATTGCTTTCATCTAATGAAAATTTAGTAATATATAAATAAAAACTTTAAGCTTTTGATTGAAAAATAAACTGAGCATATTTTAAAACTTCAGATCTTACCATTTCTGCTATCATATAATATGATATCAAATGTGGTAAGTATTTAGTATAAATAAATAACTAAATAAATAAATAAATAATAGTAATTTGCTTTATTCTTGAATTTTAGATTTCTTTAGTACTGCTACCACCACTAGATATAGTAGTAAATGTGGTAAATACTGTAATAAATAAGAAGCAATACTTTGATTAAAAAATGATAACTTATATTTAAAATTTTAGGTTTTACAACTTTCACCTAACTATAAAAATATGGCAAATATAATTTAAACATTTTAAATATAGATAATTATATATACATGCATTTTTTATTCTTAAACTAAATATTAATATTTATTAAGAGGTTGTTATTAAGTAATATGATCACAAGAATAATAAGTATTTGATTTTTAAAAATTAAAGCCAAATATGTTTAATAAGTATTAATAATATGTTTTTATTTTAAGAATCAAGTTTTACACCCTTTTTTATCTTTTTATATGACTCAAAATGTTATAGAAGCTGAAACTATTAATCATTTGAAAGTATATATAAAAAAAATAAGAGAACAAATGAAAAAAGAAAGAAAACATCCATACAGATTTGAACTTAATAACTTGGTTCAAATTTGAATTTCTGAAGTTGATCATGCTGGTATTAATTGATGATACATATTTTTTAAAGTGTTGAAAATTACTGAGAATGAAATATATATTTTGGATTGCCAATATGGAAGATTAAATGAGTATTATTCAGCTATTGAATTGGTTTTTGTTACTAAAACTTTTAAAAAATATCCAAAGCTTGTAGTTATTTCTAAAACTTGTATAAATACTTGTAAAGCTGCAATACAGCAAAGCTCTAAGTCTATAACTTCAATCAAATATCTTTGCAAAGGGGATTGTTTAAAAAACTATTGTAAATATAAAAAGGTAAGTGCAACTTGTAGTACTTATTGTTATCCAAATAATGTTAAATACAAAAATAATTGTTAAATACAATAATAATTAAAATAAAATTGTTTTATATTGTTATAATATAAATTGGTATTCTATCCAAGTTACATTTTTTTTTATTTATTTATATTATTATAGTCTTTTTATTATTTCGATTATATTTGTATATAGTTATTTATTTATAATTCATTCTGCTCATACCTTTGTTTACATTTAAGAACTGTGATAGCTAAGTATATACATATTACGATGAGCAGTTAAGGCTAGAGTAGATGGGCAGCAGTGTAACTTTATATTACCTTAGAATGGTTTAATCACAAGTGAAACAACTGCTTATAAAAGAGTAAATAACTGCTCACTAAGAAGTAAACAACTGCTTATAAAGATATGAGTGACTAAATAATATATAGAATTTACTTAATATAGCCTTCATGAACAAAATTGTATAAATATAGGTCCTTTTTACCTTTTCAAAAAGACCAGTTACAAATAGAGTTATCTATTAAGTTCTAAATAAATAAATCACTATGCTTTATATAAAATATTTCTACAATTTCTTGAATATAAAATTAGCTTAACTTCACTTAATAAGTGTTGCTACTGAAGCTGAGAATAGCTGATATTGAAAATTTTAAATACTTAATATAGAATTTATAAAAAATTTTGAGATATATTTTCTATGATTTTTTTTATAATTGGATTAGAGTTTAGGGTTAGTGTTTATAACAAAAGAGTATAATTAGATTGTAGCAGGATTTATAGTTTTAAATTGAGATCTCTAATTTCTAGTTTTAGTTATTTTAGCTTCAATCACAACAATAAATAATTATTTTTCTCTTATATTAAATTATTTTTGCATATAAATATATGTCAGGTCTCTTATTTAATATAAAGGAAATAAGTACTAAAGCTGAATAGGCCTTTCTCTAAATAGATAGGAGCCATATATTGTATAGTTTATATAGTATAGTATACTTACAAAGAATCATATTTAAGAATATTAATTATATCAACTAGTTAAATTAATTACTATGAACATTTATTAGTAAATTAAGTATTATGCATAGATTATTTTTAAGTTATATTTAATATTTAATTAAGATTTAAGTTACCAACACTAATATATAATTACTATAATAATTATATATAGATTTTTTAAAATATTTATCAAAATTTCTATTAATATAATTAATATTAAATAATCATATGATTAGTATTACTTATTTTTATTAGTTGGTTATTATTAATGATCTGCAATTTGCATCTAAGACAAAAATGGTACCTCAAAATGAAATTGTGATCTGGGCTAGCCCAATTGACAATTAGGCTAATTTGCATTTGGGCTACAACATAACTATAAAAACTTATTTGAATTTGTATTGCCTAATATTAGTTTGCATTTTTTTATATAAATAATTAAACAAATGCTTCATAACTTACTAGTTATGTTAATATAATTATTACTACAAATAATTTAACTCAATTATTAAAAACAGTTGCTATAATATAAGTAAAAATCTAAATTTTTGCTATTAATGGTTTTGAACTCCCAACCTACTACTTAAAAGAATATCAACTTGTCCACTTACTAACTTGTTATACTCTTGCTATTTGAAAATTAAAATGCTTTATATAACTATTAAATATTAATGTTTTGTATTATATTTTAATTTAATATATTCTATTTTTATTTTTTACATATAATTATATAAAAATATATATATTTAAGCTTTTAGATGATTAAACTAAAAGCTAACAATTTAAATTTTACTGAAGATAAAATTAAAAAACTTTATAACCAGAAGATTAAAGCTATAGAATTCTAAAATCTAGTTTGAAAACCAAAAGATATTTGTGAATAGATATAATTTTAAAAAATTAATGTTACAAATAATTAATTTAAAAGATAATTGTATAGTTAATAAATCTGTTATAAGAAAAAAAACAAGTTATGGGGCATTTGTATAAGTATAACATTACACAGAGAAATGCAAACTGACAAATCAAGCAGTGCAAATACTAGATAAGTTCTTGTGACTATGTAAATTCATTGAAATTGGGTAATAAGAAGTCCATTTGGAAAGACCTGAGTAGAGAGGTAGCTGGATCTTTGACAGCCCTACTGTAAAGGCTAACTTGAAGAAACAGATACCAAGGTCATAGTACCTGATTATAGTAATCAGATAGGCAAGAATCTCCAGATTGGAAGTCTTGAAGGTACTACAAACTAGGTTGCTAGAATGAACTAGAAGAAAAAAATATCAGGCTAACTTAATATACCAATAGACAGATCATAGTTCTATATAGTCTATTTGAATTAGGAATTTAGTAAAAAGGCAGAGATATACTAAAGTATCAGGGTTATGCTGTAAAGTAGATGCTGTAGTCTAAGTGAACTCTACAAAAGCATAGTGGTTTAATAATCAATTTTGACCACAAGTGTTAATTCTGTCATAATGATTCTAAATCAACTGTAAAAATGAGTACAGAAAGCTCTGAGGTATTTACCTCAAGGATAAATTAGTCTTAAGATTGAGACGATAATCTGAACATCTGGATATGACCTAGTAAGTTAACACAAGTTACAGATTCAGAAGGTTTAAAGTAGAACACCCAAGCAGAGGTGTTAGATATGACAAATGGTAGAGAACCTTTGGGCAGACTCCTTAAATAGGTAATATAGAAAAGTTACATGTGTAGCCAATTGTACTCTCTTCTGTAATAGTTCATTGAACCACAATACTGATAAGTGATTAATAAAAATCAAAAGACCAAAGAGGTCACCTTAATACCAAAAAAAAAAGAAAAAAAAACAATAAAAATAGTAATATGCTACAATCTAGATAAGGAAATTATTAGAAAGAAATATAAACCATGTACTGAAAGAGGAAATGCTTAATAAAATAAAAAAAAATCAAGCAAAACTTATGTTAATTTGATTTTTTATATACACAGATTACTCAAAAAACTGAGATAATAAAAATCCAATATAGAATGTATAATTACTATGTCCTATAACTTGATTTTCATGGCAAAGACCCCACATTACCAGGCATACCGAAAATCAGTTAAAATTAATTTTTGTTTTTTGTTATACGTCATACAATTAAATCAGTAAAATTAATTGAAACTCAATTATTGACGAAATAATAATTGCAATTAATTACATGGTTGCGATGAATCCTTGTATGTAACAAATAAGGATTTACTAATTAAACGTATTAGTGAACTCTTATTCGCCACGCAAATAATCATTTCACCAAAAATTGCAATTAATTGACTCCCTTACAATCAATTATTCGGTAGGCCTGCATATTAACTCAAACGGGTCAAAGGTCATGCAATAATGACTAATGTTGGTATTTCGTAATGAAAGAGCATTTATTTATGATTAGGACATCTACAGTATATGCAACTACGTTAAATAATGAACTTGAGTTTTGTTTTTTATCGAAAAAATATATGACATAATGTATTCTTTTACCTTTATCAAAATATGCAGTAGTGTGTAATTTATTAGTGTTATAATAAAATATAATAAATCAGAATACAAAATGATGTAATAAAATATGAAAAATTTACATAATGAAATAAAATAAATATAATCAAACAATAAAACAATAAAATATGATAAAATTAAGAAAAATTAAAATAACTGGCGATTTTCAGTTAGCAAAAATTGAAAATAACACGTAACAAATCTATATAATCCAAACGATTTGTCTATGACACACGAATTCTGTTAAAATATTCAAAATGATAATCAATCTTCAAAATTCCGACCATTCCCACCTCGGAAGTGTCTGAACTACTGAACAAAATATATGCTCTTTCCAGATTACAAGTGCTTTCACTTTTTCGGAACTCACTTTCCACACGCACAGTGCGTTGTGAGATCCCCCCCTTTCTAGTTTCATAACACTTTTTGTGAACTTTCAATCTATTTTTGTCTCTCGGCAAATCGGCTACACTGCCATGATAAGTTAATGTATAGTAATCATCATCCCTATTCCCATTAGGAACAAAAGTAAAAACGACTTTCTGTAAACGACAATGACTCTTTTTTTGGTCTATTGCGGTCTTTAGTTCATTGTCCACATTTTCGGTGGAGTAACGATAGCTGAAACCCTGATCATCAGCAATAATATTTACATGGACGCTGTATACATACGAAAACCAATTTGAATTGCTTGGAGAATTTGAAGGAACAGGACCATTATTGTTAGCCATTCTATAAATCCTAATAAGAAAAGACCATGTTAATAAAATCGATAAATATTTCATCAGAAGAGGCATTATTATATCGTACCTATAAAACTAAGTGATATATGTTTTCTTACAAATTCTTCTTAGTAAAGTTAGGTTATTTATAAGTTTTATGAACAATCAAACCGCAGAAAATGCAGTAGATCAGAATGATGATAGGCTAAAGCGGAGTGTATTAGTCCGAAAAAAGAAGCAAAAAAAAGAACGACAAACAAGGAACACAATGAAAAGTAATCTTAGTCCATTTTGGATTATTAATAAAAAATGAAGGGGAAGCAATCTTATTTATACTTTATTTAATTGTAATCCAACTCTAAAGGCAGAGTGTTTGTCTGTTCATCAAATTAGAGTTTATCCGGATCGGATTTTACTTCTACGAGAGATCGGAAACACCACACCAATTACTAGATTTGAAAACAATAACTTTGTTACTATTTTGGAAATTTGAATATATGTCACACGCTTTATCTATTTTAAATATTTTGTATTTATGATGTATCAAAATTTAATTAAAACGATGAAAATTTAATATAAAAAAATAGATTCTTAATACGTGAAGGTAGAAATTTAGGGTTGGCGGCAAATGATACAGAAGCAAATTAACGTTAATGGATATCGATATTATATGTAAAATTTTATTCCTGTTATTTTGAATTAGGTACCAAAAGTTTATTTAAACCACGTACATACGTAATTTTCTCGTATTTCCGTTTTCCTCTTTCGCAGTCAATGTCATTCAGTACATCATGAATGGCTATTGCCTTGTAGGGGTTGGTATTACTCTGAAAATTGGCAAAGCCACTTTAGCCGACTTTCTTTTATGAGAATGATTTTCTTGTACAGTAGTTTTAATATTTTGATTGGTTAAAAAAAAAAAGGTTACAAAGATAGAATTCCGGAACAAATCTTGATAAAGTTATATTGTGTATCAAACCACACATTTAATTTTTTATTGGATACAGGTTCAGCATGTGATCATGGAAATCCTGATGAAAGATCTAGTTTCTAATTTTGTTTAAATTGCTCACAGCTTCTCTAACGCTAACGCTAGTACTTTTTTGTTGATAAAATTTCGGGCATAGTTAATACTTAGTCGGCAAACCTGGATTTGGAATTTGGATTTTGGATTTAAGACAAGTAATTCAGGATTATTATGTTTCTGATTGGAAAAGAATTTAGTTTGGCGCAAGTATATGTATTTTAGATCAGTTCGACTTACTCAATCCGGATTTATTACTATATCATGTGATATAATACAACATAGCGATAGTATTTTTAAATCCGGATATATTATATCCAAATTTTTTATAATAAAAACGGATTGTAGTATTAACTCTAGTTCGACTCATTCATATTTATTTATTTGCAACATAAACAAGGACAAAGAACTTCCTAATTTTTAAAATTAAATCTTATAAAGAAATTATACGTATATCGATTTTATAGTTCTGGATATGATCTACCAAAATATGAATAAATCCCGAATATTTAATTAATTGCGTAGAAATTTTTTTTATTTTCGGTAAGAATTTTTTTGAATATTGATATGTTGGCAATGTATTGTAAGTACTGTTTTGATTAGCATGTGTTCCCATCATTACCCTTAAAACATAACATTTTAAAACCATTTAAATAGTATTGGTATGTAAAATATGTGCTATGTTCCGAGAAAAAGGTCCAAATTAATAATAATAAAAAAGTTTTGCGAAAAATTTAATTTTATATTATAAATTCTATAATAAATTATAAGAAAATTTAAAAATTTAAAGAGTTGTACTGCAAAATTTTATTAAGATAACAGAACTTGTTTCTTAAGTAAAAAATGTTTCTATGTTAATTTTGGATTAGTTAAACTTGAAAAAAAAATTTGAAAAAATTGTCAATTTGGACCCTTTACTCAGAACACACCCCATATATTTGAAATGATTTGCGTGATAATTGCTAATGAATGAATATCTATATTATTATCTTTAAAATCTGGTCAATTTTGCGCGTAGTTTTTATCGTGATCACGATCACATCCTAATAACTAGCCTGGACCCAAACACTATTGAATAGATTACGCAACCTATTCATTAGATTTGAAAAATCAACAAATTGCCCATCCATAAGAGTATTGTTATTACATTCTAGCATCCAAGTTCAATACATCTATATAGAAAATACCAAGATTTTTCGATAATCATCTATTAATTTTATGTATGATAAGTATGCAGGTTCCTAAATTTGCTCACCTTACAGGTTTTAACTTGATTAATGATCATCGCTGTGCCTACTTAACGAATTAAGTTATGGCAAGATTCAAAAGGCAAAGATTACTATTACTTTTTATGCTACTACAATGAGATCGGGATTCTTCCTTTATTAAATCTAATGCAATGTAGTATCATTATCACGCTAGCTCATGTCAATTATGCACACCATTTCATACTAATGGGCTTTGACAACCAATTTGGTTAGATATATAATTATAAAAAGTGAAGTCGTAAAAAATTATTCATTACACAACCTACGTTATTAAGAATTGATCTTTTACATTAACATTTTAAAAAGTATATTTGAGCTTAAATATTATTGACTTCATTACATTGAATTGTCGTAAATTTCTACGTATTATTCTTCAAATTTAGATATAAATTGTCCTACTTTGGCATAGAGATGTGTAAATCGCAACAAATTTTTTTTTTGAATCTAGTTGGCGCATCTATAAATTATTTATATGTCTGAATGCATTGTAATCTTCTATAACTATCATATTCATCAAAATGATTAAATAAAATCATTTTGATTATATATAAGTATTATATATCTCATTTTTCAAGAAACGGAAACTCTTTCATATTTCGTATATTTAAAATTATTATAATATTATTACTCTTTAAAATTTTTAATATAAAAGTCGATAATGCCTTGTTATGCTGACACAATTGTTAGAATTAAACATGTTCGACGAAATAAGAAAGAGGATTCGAGAACATTCTCATTATGGGCTATAGGAGCCTACCCGATAGGAACTGAGGATTTGGAAATGGAAATGACTTTACCTATGCCAATCAATCCTGATGATCGTGATCCTGATTCGCAAGCACTGTTTAAAAGAGATGAATATTTTTCGGTTGGCGGAAAGATTGTACCTGGAACTTATGCTGGGAATAAGAGATTAAAAGTATTTAAATTTAAATATCTTCCCTAAAATTTATTGAACTAAATTAATGCTTTAATATTTCATTATTTAGATGCTCGTAACTAATTCAACTAATATATCAATCGATGGTAAAGCTTCAAATAAATGCCCTATGAAAGTTTCTTTGGTAGGAATCCCACAAAAAATGCCTTTGGATATTAGGCATACTGAGAATTCAGTCATCGACTTACTTGTATCGGACTACCTTCTGCATCAACAGTATAATTATATAGTTAAAGTAGTTTTCCCACATGTAAATCAATTTAAACATTACAAAACTTCGGTTCGTCCACATGAATCAATTCTTTTCGTTGTTGGCCAATTGGAAATAATTGACAATGAAATTTATGTTTATGCTAGAGAGCTTAGTTACATTGATTCTTTGAGCACAAAAAAAAAGGATTATGAACCAAATAATCACGAGGTTACTTTAATTACTACAAATACTACTCGATCTAAGCTCTTATACGCTCATAAAAATGCTTTTAAAAATTCTGATGTTAAATATTCTGATGATACTCAAGAAGAAATTATTTCCTCAACATCTACTGGTTCAGAATATTTCGAAAGTATGTACCAAGACGATTTATCAGGTGATGATGATCTTCCTGATGTCTGAAGAAATTATTAACAAACTAACTAGGGTTCAGCTAGGAATTCACACATATCAAAATCGAAATAAAATTGCTTTTTTTTCAAAAATGATCGAAAGAATTTGAAAGATTCAAAAAAACCATTAAATTTAATTCGTGTACTAATTGTAGTTACAATAATGATTGGATATATAGATGATTATTATATATCAATCTCTCTTTTAATAAACCTTTTTGTCTTTTTAAAATATTTCAAGCAAGCAAGTGCAAGATTTCTTTTATTAAATTAGTTTTCTATTTATATATTATTTATATATTATTTATATATCATTTATTCATGTATCAAAATTCTATATGATTTGGCCTAGTTAGGCTATTATAAAGCTTAATTGTGTTATAAGATCAATATAACTGATTTATTTCAATAATTTATATAAGGTTGGGCAATACTCAATTCACATCATAACTTATAAAATTTACCTTTATATTATACCTATTCTGAACATATGATCTAAATGAACAATACTGTTCAAAGAGAATAACCTTATTTAACTCGATAACTCGATTGCTAATTTTGATCTATTTTGTCGCTTACTTATTTAGTGGAGTAATATCCTTTTTTGGGGTCCTTAAAGTCGGGTTAAAAAAGTTACGTTTTTGATGTTTGTAGAGTTACCTTTTTGATACAGCTAAGGTTAATAGGTTGTTTAAATATCAAGAATACAATTTATACAGTATGTAGATTAGCATATGAAACATGTAGACTATGTTGAGATCACTTAATGGATGATTAATTACGGAGATCATCGTCGATCAATTGTGTTACGAATTTAAAAAAAAATTTCAAGTAATTCGAGCCCTTTAATTAGATAATTCAAGTTAAAGAGTAACAAATTGATCACCCCAATATGAATTGCCAAGATACTTAGAAGTTATACATTGATATTAAATATTAAGACCAGCGCAATATGGCATTCAAAGTCAATGAGAGAAATTTTGCGCCTTGGCTCGATTCATGTTTTTTTATAACGATTATTCAGAGGTACTGTTAGAGATGGGAAAATCATGAAATTTTAAAACTACTGCGCAGCCTATCTACCTCTAGTTTTTCGCGTTATGGTAAATTTTCAATTTAATCTGTTATTTTATACAAACAAGTCATATAATGATCTGTATTATATAATTTTAAGCCGAATTTACAGATAAGGGCCAAAAAATGGAAATAATTACTAATAAGGGCCCAAAATGAAAATAATTACACTTAAAAAACCTATGATTTAGCTCCGTTTCAATAATTTGAATATAATCATTGATTGTTAATGCATAAAGACAATAAAAAAGGTACATTCAATTCGTCAACCTATTGTTCACGCTATAAATTTATTTCATTGAAATTCTTATATATTTCTTAAAAACTGTTTATAAATGTTAGATATAAAGTTACACTTCGGTATGACTTTTACAAACTTGGAAAATGTTCATTCAGCCTTGGACAGTTATTCTGCTAAATTCTAAGTTAAGAATGAACAAACCAAGTAAGCTGTTAATATTTATTTTACAAATGAAACCAGTTCATGCCCTTTTACTATTTCAGCTACAAGCGTAAAGCTGACTACATTCATAGAGCAAGGCAATTTCTCATGATATAACTTGACAACCTTTATGGATATATTCAAAGCATGAGATAGAGCAATACTTCGACCTTGTGATATTGAAAATTGTATTCATTCTAAAAATGAAGACTAAAACACCATACATGGTAGCTTGGAAAAGTAAATGCATTAGGTCACACAAAGCTAATTTTTCATTTTGCAGCATCACATAGATTTCAAAAATCTAGTCAATCAGTCAGAATTTTTTTGGTTTGGTTTCAAGAATTTTGAAGGTTAAATTTATATACATTATATGAGTTGTTTTAAAAGTTTGTAATTATAAGCAAATGAGGAAATGACTATAGAGAGGTCTGTTATGATATTTAAATAAAGAACTAAATTCTATTTAATTACAAAATAAGATAATTAACTATAATATTATTTTGATTGAATGGGCTAGCAATTTTATCAATATATTTAGGTTCTTATTTGTAATAATATTCAAATATTAAACCTCTATCTGTAATCATTTTCATTTTGGGTTTTATTTGTAAATTCTTCTAATTTTAATTAATATTAATTTTTAAAAAATAAAATTTAAGATTATTATCTTATAAAAATTTCTATTTTTATATTTATAATTGTATTTATTAGCTTATAATTTTATTTAAATAATATATTTAATTTTGTTAATTCTATAAATATAAAATAACTAAATTTTATAAATCATAAAAAATATTACTAGTATTTTAAATATTTTTAGAATAAAATTAAAAAATGTATAAAATTTTTAATCAAATTTTGCCAATTTTATAATATAATTTTTATATCAAATTTAAATTTAATAGATTTTGTCAATTTTAGTTTAATATATATTTTTGTTTATTTTTTATTTTAAATTTATTATTATTTTTTTATTTTTATTTATTTTAATTTTTTTGTAATTCTAAATTTAAAATTTTAATAATAAATAATTTTATTATTTAATTATTTAAAATTTTTATCAAAAATTTAAATTTCATCAAGTTCATTTAATTTTATATTTATATTTTTAAGTTTATTTTTTTTTGCTTTTACTAAGATCTTTATTATTAGCAACTACTGCCTTTATTGTGATTTTAATTATAGTTATATAACTTGCACAAGGTAAGTGTACAACTAGTTAAATATACAGCTTTTGGCCATCTATTTAAGTAGTTCACTTGCAAGTTCTATACTAGTTGCTATAATTGTAATCTGTTAGAAGATTACCTAATTAAATACTTTGATCCTTATACTATATCTAACAAATAACTATACAAGTTCTTGTACATCTAAGTGCTATTTAACCTAACTCTAACCTTTATATTAGTATATCTATTAAGCCATTACATATTTTAGAATATGTTATCTAACTGTAGAGCTTCAAAGGATCTTTTGTTAACTAACTACTTATATTTAATTCTTGTTAACAGAGTTTGCTTTTGTAAAGTTCACCTTAATTCCAATACCTATTTTATAGTATATCATAATACTTATAGTATATCTTTGCTTTTGGTACTAAATTTCTAATTCAAATAGTTTAAAATAACTATAACCTGTTTTTAGTATATTAAAGTTATTATATTCAATATTTTTTTCTTCTAATTCAAAATTTTCAATAGCCTAGTTAGTGATATCTTTTATTTGAGGTTTTTGCTCATCTGATTTCTTCATATTCATATTTATTTCTTAGGTCTAGCCTTTATAGTAATATCATTAAGGGTCTGTACTATCTTTTTACTCATATCTTTTTAAATAAACTTTAGCTTCTCAGTTTTATAAATTTACATGATTACAAAAACTTATTTTGGGGTTATATTACCTATTATCAGTTGGCATTTCTCTGTATAACTAGTTATACAGATATCTCATAACCTGCCAGTATGCTAATGTAACCATAGTTACAGATATCTTATTCTAACTAATTAACAGAATGCTATTACTATAATATCATCTATATATTATATAGATGATTATCTAAATTTTCATTATTAATGAGTTTTGAACTTACAATTTACTATTTAGAAGGTTGACAACTTATTTACTTTACTAAATCATTACATCTTTTTAATTTTATTTAATAAATCTAATTTATTATCTTTATTTAATAAATTTAATTCTTTATCTTTATTGAAAAATTTAAAAACTTTTTTTAATGATTATCTGAACCAAACTTTTCAAAATGCTGAACTACAGAAAAATAATATAGTTGATATATTAAACTTTATGAAAACTTTTCTGAAGTATTAGGCATGCATAGTAAACATTGAAATAGAGTTGAAAAAGAAACTATCACTTTGTAATGACAGTTTAAAAAAGCTCTAGAACTATAGAAATAATTGATAAAAGCCAAAAATCTTTTATAAAGTAAACAACAGTATTAGATATATTCAAGAAACTTCCAGAAGGGTTAAGCACTCACAAAAGTTATATTTTGGTTCATCTTATGCCTTTTCTTTTTTTTGAAAAAAATTTTGTAAAAAATGAATAATTTAGTTTACCTTCTCTAAAAGATCAATATATAAAATATCAAAACAGTTAACAGTATTTATTTTCTAATTAGGATTGTGTAAACAATATAGCAATACAAACATGACTTATACATGTACCTTGAACTACTAAAACCCTGTAAAATACTGTTCTTAGACTAACTAGTATTCCATGCTAACTCTCTATATTCAAGTCGAAGTTTTATTTAACATGGTTTTTGTTAAATATTCAAGTAGATAGAAAAATAGTAAAGTTATTTTTATTTAGTATAGTTTATAATTTGTAAAAGCCTAACACAGGCTTATAATTGTGACTATCTGATAGTATATAGTGAGAGTCACATATATCTTTTTTTTTCAATTCTCCTCTTTTTTTTTTTTATTTCTTACATTTGTATTTTTTATTGTTTACTTCTATATCTCTGTATTTTTTATATATGTTTTTTTTTTTTTTTTTTTTTTTTTTTTTTACCTTAAGGAGTTATGCTTTTTTTTTTTTTATTTTTTTTATACTTTTTACATTTATAATTACATAGACTTTTCTTTTTTTTGCGTTTAGTATCATTTTTTCGTCTT